TTTGTATCTTGACCTCGTGATGTTTAGTACGTGTTTCACTTTGCCAACACTCTTCTGCGGATGTGTATGTCTGAAACGTCATATTAAACAATTATCCATTAATGAGGTTACAAGCTATTACATCACGCATGACTCACGACAGCTCCCGAAGTCATACAATGCAGTACTTGAGTAGGTTTAAATGTAATATGCATGTAATGCAGTTTTTATGAAGAATTACGGTTTGATTTATTTTGTGCAGCTGAAGAAAACAACCGAAATTTCTCTTTTATCCGAAGAAGTAAAACATATTTACTTTATGAATTCAAACGTTGTACAAAAAATGCTTGCCGCAACGCTTTATAAAATGTTTAAGAGACGACAGTTGTCGTCATGATTATTAAATTACCTCTCTCTCTATCTACCCCTTCTTTTTCTTGCGGTGTTGGGTCGAGGAGTTTGTTATTGTTTCCTGTAGCTTAATTTCCCACCTCTCACATTATATGTATGCATATATTTTGTTTATATTGTATATAGTGTCATATAAGCCAATGTGTGGCTGGACGCACGCCATACACCTTTTGTCTTATGTAATCAATTTTATATTGTACATGTTGTGCGTGTGACACTTTAATAAACATTGTGCTACTACTACTACTACTACTACTACTACTACTACTGCTATTACTACTAATACTGTATATAAATGTACAAGTGCATTCGGTGTGGTAAAACTAACATCCATGAAATCGATAAATATCCCGCCACATAGATATGATATTAACATGCATAGTTCCATATACATGTAATTAACATATGAGTTAAGGAACGCATCACAGCGTGTACACATGCCCGGGAGACAGTGTTTGTCGAGGTAGTGTTATCTTTCCTGGTTGTCAAATAGGATAAAGGCAATTATTTGATTAGTATTATTAAGGATTTGATATTCTGATGATACTGTGTCTTGTATAATGTGAATTATACCGACTCCTCGATAACAGTAAAAATACCTCATAGTGTATATTGATTTCCTCTTGGCTCAGCCAGTGCATTCATCCGTGTGAACTGAATGCATATTGATATACATCATGTCACATACATGTATCTCACAGCGTCTAGACAGTTACAAATAGTAGGCTATTTGTCGATAAGACCAAACAGTAAGATGCACGGGGTAAAAGTCAAATATGTTGCATTTCACACAGGTCATTATTAGAATCACGGGGCACAAGGCCAATGAGATGCACGAGACACAAGGCCAATACGATGCACGAGACATGGCCAATGAGATGCACGAGACACAAGGCCAATAAGATGCACGAGACACAAGGCCAATAAGATGTACGAGACACAAGGCCAATACGATGCACGAGACACAAGGCCAGTAAGATGCACGAGACACAAGGCCAATACGATGCACGAGACACAAGGACAATAAGATGCACGAGACACAAGGCCAATAAGATGTACGAGACACAAGGCCAATACGATGCACGAGAAACAAGGCCAGTAAGATGCACGAGACACAAGGCCAATAAGATGCACGAGACGCAAGGCCAATACGATGCAAGAGACACAAGGCCAATGAGATGCACGAGACACACGGTCAATTAGATGCACGAGACACAAGGCCAATAAGATGCAAGAGACACAAGGCCAATACGATGCACGAGACGCAAGGCCAATGAGATGCACGAGACACAAGGCCAATAAGATGCACGAGACACAAGGCCAATAAGATGCACGAGACACAAGGCCAATACGATGCACAAGACACAAGGCCAATAAGATGCACGAGACACAAGGCCAATACGATGCACGAGACGCAAAGCCAATACGATGCACGAGACACAAGGCCCATACGATGCACGAGACACAAGGCCAATAAGATGCACGAGACACAAGGCCAATAAGATGCACGAGACACAAGGCCAATAAGATGCACGAGACACAAGGCCAATAAGATGCACGGGACACAAGGCCAATGAGATGCACAAGACACAAGGCCAATAAGATGCACGAGACAAAAGGCCAATATCATGCACGAGACACAAGGCCGACAAGATGCAAACCAAAGCAGAATGCTGACAAAATACAATATAACAAAGGACAGTAAAATACAAACGCCATATAAGATTCAGAGGCAACTGGTCGTTAAGATGCAACAGGCAAAAGACCAATAAACGAAGTCAAAACGTCAAAAGGAAACAGTGACCTCCTTAATGACGTTTATAGACGTTTACGGATGACAAAGTAGACACAATTGAAGGACAGCAACTTCTTTATCTCACTGTAATGGCGACGTTTTGGTATACAATGGTGTGTTCAATGTCTGTATTCAGGTTCGTAAGGATTCAAATGTTTGACAAGCATTCGCAAATTTGATGAGTACAGTAGGGGGTTCAGGGTAATGCCCCCATTCCTCAGACCCCACCCGACCCATCCCCTGGCATAAAAAAATGCTCCTGCTGCATAGGTTTTGTTGCTGTTTGTTTTTATTGGAAATTAATTTGGATTCGTTTGCGTACCGGCGTAATATGCCGCGGCGCGCCTGCTATTCGACTGTAAGAGTCCATTTCATCATGACCTAGACATACATCAACATTAAGTTTCAAAGTCACCAACCACTGCGAACAGCACACTAATGGACATTACATGTTTATTACCTGTTTCGATATAACAATCATCATTCACCCATTACCCCAATTAACGCTGATCATCTGTGGCCATCTACACAGTGAAATCCGACCCCACTTCTCCCCTGCTGCGAGTTACCCAACAGTGTCCAGTGATGGAGGTATAGTGCAGCCCCCACGGACACTGGTCAGTTTCGATTCGGACCCGGTTACTGGCGGCAGCACTGGCACAGACAGAGCTCTGAGAAGGTGAGTGGACGCGAAGTTGTCGCTGACCGATACAGCAACACAAGAAAATACTTGCTATCTGACATAAATGTTTTGACTAGTCGTCGCTGCGTAGGACATGATTGACCAGTTCATCGGGTTCTTAAAGCTCGTGTGGTAAGACCGTCTACATGAAATCTCTTCCTACTAGTACATAAACTGCTGGGGCAAAAGAAAGTGTACACATTTTTATGGTGGCTAACGAAAAATGGTTATTCGATGGTGATGTACATGTATTTCATACGAGTACCATAGGCGATATTACATGCATCATATCAATTAGTATCTTGAAACAGGTAACGTCCACATGACGAAGCACAGCAACTTCGTAAGCTAACATGAAGTGTGTACCTCTGAAGGAAACCAAAGCCTGGCAAGGTTTCGTTCTATACTGCTCGTCACTCATTATGGCATATCGCTCATTGTGACTCAAAATGTATGACCTCAAGGTCGTACACAGAAAAGTCCCAAATGTCAAGTTCACTGCTCTCCCCAAAACTTGAAATACGTTCTCTTTGTAGATTTCTATCGTGTTTTTTTGCTCAAAATGTATATTTCCACACATCCTTCGATTATTGTAGTATCCGCACCTTTGCATACTATTTCATGAATATTAACTTCTGCGGTGACGCGGTAGTCAAATCGACGGTTTCAACTAAAGGGGGTTTATTGTGATTTGATAACCTCTGAGTGACCAATAAGAAACGAGTATTTTCCAAATTCATCGTAGAATAAGTCCCCGAAAAAAAGTTAAGGTTTAAAAAATATAGTCTAGACGGGACCCTTGAGCATTAATAGACTCTCAGGCCTCCTAATTGTATCTGAAAAGAAGGTGAGAATGTAATGGGGGTGATCGTTTTGTAAAAGTGTATGTCCTCTAGGGTCTACAAGAGGAACTATATACATGCACGTTTCAGTTGTGTCCTTTAGTATTACCGAGGGAGCATAAGACGTCAAGTCTGGGCATCTATAGCTCGTGTTTAGTTAATTGACAATGACAAACCGGTCGAAGAAAAGTTTTATTTTTCTAAAATTCCATATTTTTTAACCGATTCAATTTCACGTGGCAATTTTACAAAATTTCTTCGCGAAACGTGCTTCCTTTTTAAAGCCAATTAAGACAGTTTCTGCTGCAATGGTGTGGAGACAAATACGTCTGGCTAATGTCCGTTTTTTTATGGTTAATGGTGCTTGCGTTGATTACCTCTCGGTCCACGTACACCACGTTACTGTCGCTTGTAACAATACAACTAATAATCCCACGCACCAGCAGTGTTACCAAAAAGGTTATGTCATGTTAACAGCACATAAGCTCACACACCGTTTTGAAACCTTAATAATATTAAAAGCGCCGTAAAAAGTCAACTCACTTACTCTCAAGTAAAAGTTCAACTGCGGATACAAATAACTGATCTGTCTTATATAGATGTGACGTCATACATATAGGTATCAGAGTAACAGGAAAATAGGTTAGAATTACATGCAATATATTCATAGGTATGATTAACTGAATCACCGCTTTTAAATTTGAATTTGACTTAATATGGTCATTTCCGCATTTAGGAAGTATTCATAATGCCGTTGGATTTTATAACTTAAGCGCATAACAGACTCTTTGTTAATGTTCTGAGTCTCGCCTATATAATGTTACACCAATCGTCTTATTTTATTTACAACGCGGACGCGAGCGTTAATCTATTAATGCATATTAAGCAAACTACTAATTTTTATATGATTTTAATCCAAGCACGAAATTCGTCTGAATTTTTTATTGACCACTTCCTTATCTATTTCACAAAAAGGTTACCATTGCTTCGAAAAGACACGACTCGTGCAAATCGTTATTTAATATCACCAATGCGTGTTGACAGTCCGATTGAAGTGGGGCAGCTGATCGCTATATATGCATGTCTAATGCCCCGACCTATTCAGGAGCTGTTATGGTTGTGGCTTTACGATCATCGACAAAACTTGAGCTTACGTAGGCAAAATGGACTGGGTCGGTTGTCATAAGTATATAATCGTTGTTTGTTTTGACTTTCAGTGAACATTCCATTGTGACAATTGCAGCCGATCGGTCACACCTCCTTTCTGTGACCTTTGACACGGAACTCTGACGAAAGAAGGCATTCACTTCCGGAGCTCATCGTCACGTGACCATCTTACTCGGCTGGCGGGCGGTGTACAGCCCTGTAAAGATTCATGCTGCCCAAGTAAAGCGCATCAAAATTGCCGTATATAATTCTTTCAGCACCTTTGTAAGCCGGGAGTAGGAGAGGAGCCACAAAAATGGCGGATGAAGAATACTTTGATGGTTATATGGAAGAGGAGGAAGAATGGGATAGAGAGGGCTTACTCGACCCGGCATGGGAAAAGCAACAGAAAAAGGTCAGTGTTGAGGAGGTGTTACTCCGCGTATGGCGATTCAAACCAGTCATGCCGAACCGTGTTGGATATGTGATGACTTTCATCTTTCTGTGTTCGTTTGGATACTATAATACAGGTAGAGGTTTCTAGCGGGCGACAGAAGTAGGGGCAGAGTTAGCGCACTTGCCGGCGTCCGCCATGTTTCTCGTGTATATTGGGTTAGTGGTGTTGATTACACACCTAATATGGTAGTGGATGGGGCGGGGCATTTCTACAACTATGCACAGAATAAATGGATGAATGGAAGTAACAACAGACTTTTGTCAAATGCAAGATAAGATGTGTCAGTCTAACTTAAACTGGATGCCCTGTGGATTTACAGTTTATTCGGAACGTCAATGAATCATATCGCACCGTATCATTTGACAGGTGCTACTGTCCTACCCACTGTCCCAACCTTCATTTTCACGTTCGCTGTGACAACAATAAGCTGTATTATTTGTTGTTTCAAACCCACTAGTCGTCTTGGAAACCAGAATTTTATCAAGATGTAACTTGTGACCTTACATTAGTAGACATGTCATGCATTTACCCTATAAAAGTAACCTTCCGTGTTTTCATAATTACTCATGTTTTGTCATCTAGTGTTCATTTACGTAGACTGCTTCCCAGGGCAAATTTGACGATGTGTGAAAAGCTCGCTTTCAAAACTAGCTATTCAGCTAAATACAAGGTTGACCTATAAATGAGTTCTATTTCTGAATATAACCTTGACGGTATAGCTAACACCACACTGGAAATGTTGCTGTTAATTAAGCACAGATGAACTTGATATCCCTCAATATAGATAAATATGATGGGGATTATCATGATAAGGGAAAGACATAAGCATGTGGCATGGTGTGTGAGGCAATGCTTCTCTGACACTGTGTAGGATTACTACCATGACCAAAAATGGCAACAGGCATGACTGGGAGAATATATCGAGCTTATTGAGACATTCTGAGTCATGTGTCATTGCATTGTTTTGACCAAGGCAATAATCAAATAGTGCGACAATTACTGTCATATTTGACAGCTTACAGAGCTAGTCAGATTTCATTTTATTGCTGGAATAATTGGCATACCAGAGCAGACAAGAGGAAGTAACTCAGGATCTGGTCTTTATCCAGTAATATCTGCTGGTACCGGTGCCCCCAGTTTCTACACACAGTGTTGTGTGCTTACTCATCATATTAAGCCAAAAAGTTCGTAATAAGTTATGCTTGGAAGCAATGGACACTTTCTTTGATGTTTATTTGTTTAACATCTCTTTCTAACTAGTTGTTCATTCAGTCAGTGTATTTTGAATTTCATTTAATGTAATGGCAGATAATGTTACATTTGGAGGTATGAGATTTACTATATTTAAAAAAAAAATTGTTTACACATCTGTGAAAGAAATTCATTAGGTATCCATAACTATTCACAACACACAACTTCCCTTTGAAATTTACTGATGTAAAGTTTATGGCAGTGGGCTAATGATTATGATGGCATTTGTCATCTCTAATTAGGATTGTATAGACATATGATTTCAGTACTTAAAAGTTTCATTGTAACCATGGTAACAGATATTTTGAAAGGTTACCTTTGAATATGTCTTTGTTGCTGCAAAGGAATCAGTTACAAAAAATGGATGCATCATGGGCATCAGAATAAATCCCTGTTTAGAGCAATTTATGTACATACGACCAACTAACACAATTTTGAATTATCTGAAATAACCATAGGGCACAATTAATATTTCATTATATTTGTATTGAACATTTCTTTAAATTGTTTTAGAGCCACACCTGTAATAGTGTTCTTAAGGTAATAATAATAATCACATCCTCTTTGTTAAATGGTTCATTCAATTTTGAGCTATGCAACAATATGGTTGACTGAGGTTTAAGTTCACATGGTTGCTGATGTCGCATAGTATGAAGCATTATCTCCCACCCTATTGTCACCAGATCGTAAAATGAGTCACTTTTTGTTGTCGTTCTGTGGTGAGTCTTATCAGGGAGTATGTCAATTGAACCCACCTATCTGCAGTCTCAATTTGAAAGTCTGACATTCGTTGCATACCTGGATGTGTGTGATGATTGTTGTCGCGCTCTCACCTGCTTAATACAGGTAGCACCCAGTGTCGAGTACACTGACCTCGGTCCAGGCGGACAGCTGATACGTGTAGTGGTAGTACAAGCAATATGATACCCAAGTAAATAGATTACCTGTATGTGTAGGTTAAATTAGCCTCACTGTTTACAACTGGGTTACAGTAGCTATATGGTATGCATGGCAGGGGTGTGTTCAAGCATTGGAAGAATTTGGCCGTGGGCGTTTTTTAAAACAAGTTCATGATATGGCGTTATGTTTAATATCCCGTTATTTATAATATAATTAGAGCCTTATCTCAACATGCTCAATATACTGTTTACATGAGTATCAAACTTATGAATCATGATCCATTCTATATTTTTTTCTTTTGAACAGATGAGGTATTTTGAATCAACGTGAATGAAATTCTGATGATTTTGGGTCTCATTTGGGAATGAATCTAGCTTGTTGTTGGCTACACGGGTTATCTTGGTTTGATAAAAAGGAATGTGTTGAAATCACTGGCCACCTTTGGCTGCGTGATGTTCACCTTCAGTCTCGCAGATACACACCAGGACCTAGCTATCAGAAACTTCTAAAAAGTTTGTTTACAATTATATCTTGGTAAAATATGTCTATTAATCAGCGCCTGGCCCTGCCTTGACTGGTGTTTGAGGAAACTGGGTCAGGAGGCTGGGAACTGTTGATGTAGATTGTGTCTGCAGCGGGTTTAGGATGTGAAGTCACAGCTGACACCACTTAGTAGGGCTATTGTTACTTGTAATGGGGAGATTGTTTAGGGACATGCTACTGACTTCAACACTTGAGTATACAGTAGTTTGTTTACTGACTGTAAGCTTTCTGCCACTCATTCCCTTTGCTCTATGATATAAAAGAAGTTACGATAACATGATAAAGGATGTGATAAAATAATGCTTTACAATCCTCTTGGTTATGTTTATTATGATTATATAATAAGATTGCATTAAAACTAGTAGCGGTATGCATTACAGGGTTTAAGATCAGGTCACTTTCTTAGGATGTGTTGGACATTGATTGTCCTCCAAAATGTCCCAAAGACATGTTTCAATATAGATAATGATATAGAAGAAAAACATACTTGTTGGTATTTAAGGAATACCCTCATTTCTGTGTCGCTTCATGTAAATAATTGCATCAATTATGGTGATGATTAATTATGATAGTAAATGAATTAAGATTTGACATCACATTAGCATTGTTTCAGCTGTTCTCGTGATTATAGTGATGAGGATGATGATGATGATGATGCAAGACAACCCTTTCTGCTTGTTCTAGCATGTATTATTGAGACAACATGAAATATTAGAATATGAATAGATTTTTTATCGGTGATGTAAAAGATCATTGCAATATTTCCCTAACAAACAAAATGACAAAGACAAACATAATAGACTGCAACATGTTTATATAGGCTGGGCATAACCTATTGACATTCAGAGAGTGATGGCAATGAACTGCCTCATAACCTGTAGTCAAATATGCCCAAGGGTAGCTGTCAGTGCAATATGTTAGTGTGGTATTTGTCTTGGACATTTTAGAAGGCTAGGTATGACTATTTGTAGAGCCAAGAGTTTCACAAGGGCTACGTTGTGATGAAAAAAGTATGTTGCAAACTTTGTAGGGCAAGCTCTTGTGCTCTAGGTGTCATAGAGCTGTGTGCTGGTCTAGCTTGTCTTGTCTAAGATACAGGTTCAAATCCCCCCTCTCATACAATGTGTGCAGCTCATTGTTTTATTGTATGCCAGTGATTTTGCAGAAAATTATAGATGAAAACCAGTCAGTGTCCTAGAAAATGAGTTAATCTGAAACCAGTTTGTTGTTTTCTGGAGTTAGTGAGTTGGTTTATGCAGCTTTGAACAGCATTCCAGTTTGTTGAAATAGTGTCACTTTTCATAATACTTTCAAAGGGTTAGGTTTATCTTTATTGTGAAATGATGTTGCGCACACATTCTGGTATAAGAGAAAGAACTTTGCTACATTCAGGGTTGTTCATGGACTTTGCTTCAGGTGGACTATTGTTAATTACTTAACATGAAACCACACTTTCCTTCAAGATGCAGCCGTATGACCTTGCTACAATGTCACACACTGACAGAGGTGTTGATGTTTCTTTGTGTTTCACAGTTTGTACTGTAATATTTCCACTAAGGCCACATTTTATTAGGTTGTCTCAAATGTGTTATTGTCTGATGACCCCCCACTGACCAGCTGCTGACCTTGCCTTCCATCTTGTCCTTTGTGCTATGTTCCTCCCAACAACGCTGGCAGTGATAGGCAAATCTATTTATCACAACACTGGACAGGGTACTTGAATTGGCCTCATTTATACATTAGGTTATCTGACTATTGGCTACTGTGTAAGAGTGTCGTTAACCATCCACTGACCCTAAGGCTGACAGGGATTGGATTCTTGCCGTGTCTTCACTTGTAGAGATAAGAGTAAGAATGGTCAGAGATCTGTTGCTAACATCAAGGAAATGTTAGATTTTATTATCTGAGATTTATTGTATTCTTATAGCCTTTTGGTGTACGTTATCATCACATTTAAGAAATATAGAACAATCAACAATGGTTTATTGCCGTTGTGATATGTTCTCTGTTTATGGAGCACTATATGTGAGTTTCAATGGACTTTTGACAGAAGGGCTTTGTATGACTTCAGATGTTTTTTTGTTGGTCAGGGGATATAGAATCCGATCTATTACTATTAGATATGGGTAATTCTATCAAAGTGTTTTTTGATCAAATGTTTGAGTATTTTCATGCCTTTTGTTGTTGCTGGGCCAATTAGGCAAGTCCAGATTGGCTAGTGCAGGAAGCGTGGTTGTCGTGTGTGTGACATACTCCGAACACAG